GGAAAATGGGAGAGAGGAATACACAAAGGCTTTAGGGTTACACTTGGGGGAGAACGATGTTGTTTCTAGAATAGAATTATTAATTAATAAAATAATTACAAAACGACGTTGTTTTGAAGAACTTCGGTTCGGTTTTTGGACCCCATAAAACGAAACCGACCTAACCAGATTTGGTTTGGTTCGGTTTAACAGATTACTCGGTTCGATTTTTTCGGCCTCGATTCGATTTTCGATTTTTCCAACCCACCCCTACTTCCTACACCCCTATTGACATCTTGCAAAGTGTTTTCTTTTTCATTTTGTGGACATGTCACTGTTTTGACAAACGATGTGAACCTTAGGTAAACACCGTCTATTAAGTAGTATGCTCCCTCATACTTAGTTCCGTTGATCCAATATGTAACATTTAGTGTTTTTCCTTGTAGTACCTCGTTGACCACCGGAGATTGGGTAAGGACATTGAGGTCATTTTGAACTCCTAGAACACCGAAAAAACGTGCTAAATCCATGTATCAAATGATGCCACTGCTTACAAAATGATACTTTTGGTTCCTTTTATGTCACCATAAGCTCATTGCCATGCACTTGAGCAGTTTTTATAGGTCCAGTGCATACAGTCAATGCTTCTAATCATGCCAGGAAAGCCTCGCACTCACCCTTCTTCATAAACCTTCATCGGTCCATTGGCGTGGGTTTACGGAGGTACTCATTGGTTTAGCTAGCTTCGATTGCATAGCAAACCTCATCAAGGACTCTAGAAAAATTGATTTTCCCATCCTCGTAATCTCATCCACTTGGTCTACAGGTGCACTATATACAAGATCCGTAGGGCAGCAGTAATTTTTTGCTCAAGAAGGAGACCTATAACATGAAAAACAACTTTTTTTTTTTTTTTTGCACAAAGTATGGATCATGGTTGCAAACAGCAATCATGATTTTGTTGAACAAACTTCGTTGCATTCTAAAACGACATCTAAAAGCATCGACAGGGAATACATTGTTGGGATAAAATAAAATCTTCCAAGAGATTCTTACCTTGTTTTCCCCTCTTTCCATCTAAGTTTGCGGAACGCCTGGGTTTGGAAATCTCACTCATAACTTGCATGACACGACGAAGCTCTCTACTTTCTAAGTTCATCATCCTCTTCCACTTCCATTACGAACACCTCATCTACACCATCCTTAAGATTTAACAATTCTTCATCTTCCTCAAACAATTTTTTCTCTTGCTCATCAATTTCTAACAATCTCCTTGAAGAAGACATTGTAAGAACTCAAGATTTATAAACCATGAAGAATGACTTAGGATGGATGTAGGATTTATATGGACAAAAAAAAAAGGATGAGGTAGTAGATAATGTCAGGTGGCATGATGGGATTGGTCCAAAATCTTATCATAAATCTATCCATAAAATCTTACAGAATCATGACATCTGGAGTTACAGAATTGGTTAAAATGCTACTTAAAAATCTATCCACAAAAATTGTATTTTCGGGTAATGATACAAAGCGTGACAAGATTGGTTAAAAATCATATCCGAAAAGAAAAAAAATAAAATTATTTTTTATTTTTATAAAAAAATTTAATAATATTTTAATTCATAAAAAAATTTAATAATATTTTAATTTGAATTAACCTGGATGTTCAGTTTAGAGGTGAAGATGTACTTAGATATTTACTATTTATTGCAATCAATTACTATTAATTTAGGTGGATTGAATTGACTATTGCACATGAGGGTTGTTAGAAGTGGACTTGCTCTAAAAGAAATTATTATCCGCTAACATGAAAATCAAAGTGATTTCGTGGTTGTGGACCGTGACCTTAGAATCTCTCTCTCTCTCTCTCTCTCTCTCTCTCTCTCTCAAAAGTGATTAATATTAATATTGGAACTTTAAAAGATTAACCGCTGTTTTAAAATTTTCTGGTTAATCCTCCTTAGGACCCGTCGAGGTGTTAGACAGTTAGTCATCGCCACAATTAATCTCTAGACATTTAAAAATAATAATAAAGAGCGCCTGGACCGGGCGCAGGTGTTAGGTGCCCGTCTAGACTACCTAAGTCGTGACTCTCACTTAGCTAGAAAATAGATAATTTCAATTTGACATTATTTTTTTCAATAAATTGTAAGAGACTTGTTGGATACTTGGAAGAACACTTATTATATGCTTGTTTTATATGTTTCAATATGTTCCAATACTTTATAATTTCTATGTCATTCTCTTTTGAATTCATGTATTCAAATACAACTATATTTTGTTAAGTATAAGCTGACATTTATTTATAATAAATTTAGTCAACTTAAAAACAGAAAAAAAAAACCGCCTATAGCCCCCTGCTTCTGCCTAGGTGCTTAGGCACTAGGGCTTTACCCGCCGCCAAACTAGCACCTAACGCATTGAGATACTTCTCACTAAATGTTTTATGCAGACTAGTTGAAATTGAGTTAGATTAATTTGAAATTAACGGCCGTTTGATTTTAGCATTTAAAAAAATTATAACGTTAATTAATTAACTAATGAGCAACTCACTAACCGTCATAATCTCTCTTTTTTTATATCAGAAATTCTTATTAACTATAGTGGTTAGAATCTTTCTTTTTAACCCATTTTGTTTTGGATTTAAATAATCTTTTCCTCCCTTTATACTAGTTTAAAAGAAAAATATCACTTGTATTAAAAATTAAATTCAAAAAATATCACTGAATGTGGATCCGATCAGTCATGCCAAGCACCACCAGTTGCTTTTATATCGAGTCTTCGCCTGAATTTTTTGGGAGTTGAAATTGACCCATATGTCCATGTCAGGCAAGCAAATTTTCACTAAATAAATCATAACTATTAGATACCAATCCAGTAGCCAATTAGCAAGTAGGATTAAGTAGCTCTTCTTGTTTTAATTTGTACTCATATCTACTATTGTAAACATGCATAACTCCATATAATAATTAACATTAGTTCCTTGGACGGTTGAAGAAGTCATTGTTAGAATGTGAGTATCATAATGAGAATTTGGAATCGGTCATAGTGGTTCATATTGGTTTATAAATGTTTTATTCAAGAGTTTAAAGTTTTCTTAGTCGGTTTGGATTTGAAACATTAAATGATTTGATATTAAGCACTCATAGTTAGTTTGGAATTGTGTCAGTTTCTCACATGGGTTTTAATAGGGAAATCATAACATATATTTTAATATAAGCCACTGCTCTCACAAAATAGCACGTTCATTATTGGACTTAGACCTATTGTAAGTCAAATATATTGTTTTTGCAAGAGAGGAGAAGTTTATTATTGAAGTTAGCTACCACTTCATCTTGTTTGTTGTTTTTAAAGTTTTGATATATTTCTAACATGTGGTATCTGAGCCATGATGTGAACTTTTATGATTTTTCATTATAAATTTAGGGTTTGATATGTATGGATTGAACCGGACCTTTTAATATTCATATTTATGCATATTGTTTCATATACATCAATCAGTTTGTTGTGAAATATGATGTTTAACATAATATATAGGCATATATATTCTTAAGCACAATTTTTCTTTTGCTGCTATATACTGTTAGGATGCTTTGACAGGTGCCATCTTTTGATTGGTAATTGTTGTAAGAAGTTGGGTAGTTAGGAGGTTAGTAGAGAACCGACTACAAATAGTCAGCTTGTATCAAAAGGAAGGTAGTTATGAAATATATAAATGTTTGTTAGTATTCTCTCTATGGAACCAAGGAAGACGTAGAGCAAGATCTTAATATTGGTATCAGAGCCTAGGTTCTCGACGCTGCGGAGGGGGCGATCTGGAAATGGCTACCTTAACGGGACAACCAAAGGGTGCGCCGCCGTTAAGAGTGAAAGTCACCAGAGTAAGGGCCGTCGTGGGCGTCGACTTCCGAAGGGTGGTTTAATGTTATGATCTCACATCGGCTACACCAGAAATGGTGTAGTGGTTCTTAAGTCCTAGGGGTCCTCTCACCTATCAGGCTAGTCTTTTGAGTTGGGCTCTTCCCTTGGGCTTGAGAGCTAACATATACATGCTTACAGGCTTTAACGCACGTCAATACGAGGCATTACGAATTCAACTCGTATATGAGTTTGCTTTCCATAATCAATGGATTATGATTTAGTATTGGCATATATCATTCACGGTGTATATATGAAAATAAATAATTAGGCATTTCAATTTATATGATGCATGCTTCCGCTTTTTGTTTCGATTGAAATTTCAAATTAAGAGGAAGATGAATTTTGAGTTTTGCAGAAGAATTAGTGGTCTTGGTTTCTCATCTTCTTCAAGACATATTGTTGTGATATCTAGACATTATCAAAATTTGGTTGTTCTTGTTCGAAAGATAATGAACCAGTTAGGATCAAATTGAATGCATAAATATTTTGTTTGCTATTCTGTTAAAACTGGTGATTTGGGCAGTTGTGATTAAATTGAATACAAAAATATTGTGTTTGCTATTCTGATTTTGGTCATCCACTACTAAATTAAACAGTTTGCGTGACAATGGAGATTTTATCACGCAAATCAATATTAGGTCGCACAAAAACTATGGCGACCGGAAAATTATTGCACGTATTTTGTCGCGGAAAGGTCGTAAAAAAAGACATTGCGCGATGAACAATTTCAAACTCGTCATGCAAAAAAAAATTGCACGACGCTTTACTATTCGTCTCGCTAAAGTAATATGGACGAAAATTTTCGTCGTACGATATAAAGGGGTACAAGTGCTCTTTGTGACTAATTCGTCTCGAAAAGTGTGAGCGACGAAAAATATAACAGGCTCATGGTAATGCATGACGAAGTTATAAGACGTGCTTAATTTTGCGCGACAACTAGTCGACGTTACGCAAGTGTAATTTTAATTAAAAATAAATAAATAGAATACAAGGAAAATTAAAAAAAAAAAAGATTTCATACTAATGACAAAAAAAAAAGCAAATTAATGAATAAAAAACAATTTTTATTTATAATATAAATAAAAATGTACGTACAAATATGAAGTTATCAAAGAAAGCAGGAACAAAACTATGAAAAAAAGGCGGAAAAATCTATAGGAGTGTCGTTCGAATGATCTTGGTGTTGGTCGGGGACGGGGTCAAAGGTCGACGGGCCTGATTGCTGTGCTTGCTCGATGTGGAAGGGTTGTGAGGGCAATGGTGCAAAAAAACCAGGGAGATGTATTCTGGAGGAACTGAGGGCTTGTACAAGCATCGACATTTGAGACTTATACGATGCCAGCTCACTCCTCAGGCCAGTGACTTCTTGCGCTAAAGCCGTAACCTGACCCTTTGACTGCAAGGATGACGAGGCTTTACTCTCCTACCTCCTGGCATTTCCCATCCCCCGACAATAAGTCTCTGGCTTCCGACCGAAAGTCTGGTCCAACGTCTCTGTGATGATGTGAAACCCTGCATCCTCAAGAGGATCCACAGACTCAATCGACATGTCCGAGGGAAGCTGGGAGGCAGACACTTGAAGCACCGACTGACTATTCTCCACCATAGTGGCCTATGAAAAAAAAAAGGATTATTAATAGAAAACAATTTGAAATAATTAGTATAAATGTTGAATGCATAAGAAATTACTTACATGAAGGGACTCAGTCAACTCATTCCCAGGCCGAACATAAACGTCAGCAAAAGACGTCGATCTCCGGAAATTTTGAACCCTCCTGAAATTGAAAAAGATAAAGGAAAATGTTAGTAAGAAAAAAAAATTATTAGTGACATTTTAAAATTGGAAGTGAAAGATGTAATATTTACCTTCCGTCGCGCCTCCATCCTATAGGAGAAAGGCCTCAAACCCGAATGGTGGAGAATAGTCTTTTTCTCCCGATTTATCTTGTTCGTCTTCGCCTTCTTCTGTTATAAAAAAAATAAATGTATTAGTTGTAATACTCAAAGAAAATTAAAAAAATAATAATAAACATTTGTAGAAATTAAAAAGAGTAAAATATGAAATAAGTCGTAATTAAAAATGCACCACATAGCTCGGCTCCTGAAAATGACCGCAAAGCCAAACCCAATTGTCTTGTCGGTCCTCCAACTCCTTCGAACAACCCTCCTCTAGAGCAACCTACGGATCATCAAATTGCTGGAAACATTGGTGCAGGTCACTCTTCCATTGCTTGTAGCCTTCTGAGAAGAGCCGATTGAGGTACACGAACATGTCATCGTCCATGTCCACCAAATTGTAGTTTGTCTGCAATGTAACAAATATTTTGAAAGTATTAGTAATAAAAGACAGCAATAAATAGAAATATATAAATTTTACATGAAAAGCATTAAAGGCGACGCTACTTACAGACAATTGGTTGCGCACCGTGTTCTTCATCTCCTCCGGAATCGCCTTCCAAGACTTCCACCGCATAGGGAAAAAGGTCCGCACGACATGCCCAATGTCGTGGGCCAATGCACTATGCTACTCTACCATTGGTGCTACCCGATGTCGCTCATTGTATCCGATTGGGATACGACCGTTGGTCACCCGGGTGACCTTCGCTGTCTTCAATTGCCGGCAAGGTCTCTGGATGTTTTTCTTTGCTGCAAAGAGATGAAAAAAAAAATCATTAACCCAAAACTAATAACAAATCCTACTAAAATTTCAGCATAGCCTCCCCTATACTTAAAATATTTACCAAAACCTTGAAAATAACATAAACAATATACGTATCCAACACAATGATCACAACAATTTAACAAAAGGTTCAAAACGATGACAACTTTTTAATCCTTACATGACATAACTTAACAAATTGAACCTAAAATAACAAAATTGATCAGTTAACATTCGCATACATTTTCTTCCTCTATTTCTCCTGAAAGTTACTTATTGAGCATCACAGCTACTTCTTTGGTTAAGGCCACTATTTCCTTTCTCCTAATTAGAACATACTAGGTGTAAAACCCTCCTCAAGTCAGATAGCATAAATAAGATAGCTTAAAAGATGAAAATCAGGAAGTTTCCCCCTAATATTTTTCGAGGCAATCAACATAATATTTAAGAATAGCAAAAAATTGGAGATAAGCAGGGAGAATAAAGAAGGGATAAGAGAAAGAGAGAGCAGCAGACGCAGAGGATTAAGCCGAAAAGAAACTTCACAAATGAAGGGAACAAATCAAGGATGACGGACGTGCGGAGCGAATGGGCAAAATCGACTTTTCACTGCAGCAAACAGAAAACAACAAGGCAAACAAAGCAAAAATAGAAGGGCAAAAACGTAAGGCCACTGGTCATCCACAATGCTCCAAAACTGAGTTTAAGTATATATGATTTCCAATTTAAGCGTTTTGAAATACCACAACAAACTTCTAAAAATGGCGACAACTGCCATCCAAGACAGCCAATTTTCGAGCTTGTATACACAGGCTTGAAAACATTGCTGGCAACAGGCTTGGCAAAGAATTCTAAGCTGCTATAGCAAACAGTTCCATATAACCTCTTCCACATTGACATTTGTAAGACTCTGACAGTCACAATCGAAACTTCTACGACTCTAAAAACTTTGCTTCAAGATAATTACCAAGGTTTTCATTTCCCAGTTAAACATTTTTGCCATTTCCTCAGCGTCAAATCTCTTCCACAACACTATCGTTTCAATTCCGTGAGAAACCCATTTGAGTAACTAAGAAATGACACATAAATTAACAAAAAAAAATTGCAAAACCATAAAAATTAACAAACATGAATTACGAAATACACACAATTTCGATTTCATGACAAAACCCATTTCTGAAAGCGAAGAAATTACGAACAAAAAAAGAGAAAACAATGGAAACTTTTTAATCCTTACATGACATGACATAACAAATTGAACCTAAAATAACAAAATTGAGTTAACATGGGAATGAGGGAGTGAATTAGGATTGTATACCTGACTGTGTACCTAAGGCATCAGTTGTGGATCCCGATGGCGACATCTGGTCCGTACTGCGGGGGCGCTGGTGAGTAAGTCAGGCACTAACAGGCAACGCCACTGAAGAAGTCAACGATGCCTGCGCTTGTGGGATTAGAGGACCAACTGGGTCAATCGGATTGACCGGTCTATGGTCCATCTCTGCCGGAGTAGTGGCGGCAGTAGTAGGTGTAGTCGACGGACTAGGTGTAGCCGTTGGACTAAGTGTATAAGTCATCGCCCTTTGGGTTCTAATGAGGTGTGACATCTACAAAATTAGAAATCAATTTGTTTCGTACACAAAGATTTAACTTGTCGTACACATGCTAATAATTTAAACTTAAATTTAAAACGAAATTTAAAAACCCTAATTCTAAACCCAATTCAAGTTTAGCAGAAACTAAACTTAAAATTGATATACTATACACAAACTAATCAATTAAGATAGGATATAGACCCAACAATTATAACTTATAAGAAGAAACTAGCATAAAGGACATCCTTACAAGTTTACTACCTAAAACCAAACAAACGTGAGGTGCCTTGGATATCCTTACTACCTTATGTTTAAATAACGACCTCATAACAAACTAATAATGTGAGAGAGAGCATATCATTATTTACTAGTAAAATCCATATTTGCTTATATCATGTGGGTTCCCATATCTTTGAATAATAATCATAATGGAGTTCACAAACAGATTTCATTTGATTTAATGTGTTCCTATTGGTTTGTTATACCCAATCACCATGACATTGCCCTATTTGGCTGAAAACATATTTTACATATAAATTTCCCATTTTTTGTCCTTCTTGGTGAATTAAGTATAGCCAGACCCAGGAAAGAATCCATTCATGACATTCCTAAAAATGTAACTTCAAAATTGGGAGGCCGAATTCAACAAGCAACGCAACCGTCTATCATATTAATAAGGCAACAACAAAGGCTAATACCCCATTATATATCAAGAAATCGTGGCAGTCTACAATGCAAATCTCTAAAAACTTATTCCACAAATGTACAGTGTAATTCAATTTTTTTCTTTCAAACCTACAATTGAGAACACATCCTACAATATCTTAAATTCCAACATACAAACTACAAACATAAATATATTTCATTTAATCGTAATAAAAAGATAATTAAAAAGGTGAATTATACAATATAAAGATAAATAAATAAAAGGATTGTTGCATATGGAAAAGTGTAAGTGCAATGTTGTGGATGCATAGAACATAGGAAAACATTAACAAATCCCTAATTTAAGAACCCTATACTTAAATTAAAAAAAAAAACCCTAATTCGAACCCTGTACTTGAAACTAAAAACCCCTAATTTAATAACCCTAATCTAACCCCCAGTGAAGCATCCTAAATCTAACCCCCAAATTAAGAAAACCTAATCTAACCTCACTGCCCAAAATCATTCTCCTAATTTAAAACCTAAATCTAACCCCAATTAAGAACCCTAAAAACTCTAATTTAAGAACCTAAATGTAACCCGCAATTTACGAACTCTAAATCTAACCCGACTGCCCTAATTCTAACCCCCAATTTGAAAAACAAAAAAAAAAAAAACAAAAAAAACCCTAATTCGAACCCCCAATTTGTAAATAAAGAAAATTGAAAATGAAAACTAAAGAGGAAATTACCTCTTGGAGACGAAGTCGCAACGGCCGGAGAGACAGATGGAGATACAGAGGAAGGAGAAAGAGGGTATCAAGCAGGAAAAAAGGAAGAAGAGGGAAGTGAGGGGAAGAAGGAGAGTTGGGGTTAAAATATAGAATATGCGCGACAGAGCCTTTGTCTCACAAGGCTAAAAATCGTCGCGCAAGTTTTTTAAAATTTCCGCTGAAAAAAAATGCCTTAATTGAAATTTCAAACACTTGCGGGACAAATACAATATTTTGTCGCACAAATATACTTTGTGCGACAAAATATGTGTTCATCGCGCAATATTCCCCTGTAAAGTTAAAATAACCGTTAAATCGTGCCTTTTTGTTTCTCACCGTTGAAAAGTTTTGTCCTGTTACTTCATCTCTGAATGTTTATGTAGACATCGAAATTTCGTAAATAAATGTTGACCGATAAATCAAAGTGTCAACGCTCATGTATTACATAAATTTTACACGTAGCGTGTGACTCAACGCAAATTGAAATGAGTTGGAAAAGTCATCAAATAGGACACGTGTCTACACTTGGCAGAAACGACTTATTTCATCTGGAATATTATATTCAAAATTAGGCCTTGGAAAATTCTATAAATACAAGCCCATTTCATTCATTTAAAGGGACCAATTCATATTACACCTTGAAGCTCTGAAGCTCTGAAACTCCGAAGCTCTCAAGCATCCAAGTTCCCGAAGAATCAAGAAAGCTCTCTTCGTTCTTCGTTCTTCGTCCATCGCTCTTTCAAGATCAAGCCCCGACGGCCCTTGAAGAAAGCACCATCGTTCATCATCCGTTCATCCAAGATCAAGCCCCAACGGCCCTTTGGATCAACAATCATCCACCTTCAAGATCAAGCCCCGACGGCCCTTGAAGAAAGTGTTCTTCGTTCATCATTCTTCCAAGATCAAGCCCCAACGGCCCTCTGGATCAACAAACGTCGACAAATCCACACATCCAACCGTCCTTCAAGATCAGACCCAAAACCCCTTGAAGATCCGTTCATCACTGTTCTTCAAGATCAAGCCCAAAAGCCCTTGAAGATCCGCTCAAATCCACCTTCAAAGATCAAGCCCACGGCCCTTTGAAGAAACTTCCAACTGTTTATCCAAGATCAAGCCTCGACGCCCCTTGGATCAACGAAACATCCACTAATCAACACCTTACGGAGATCGAATCAGAGGATCAAAATAGTGAGAGATTGTAACCCAAAATCATCAAATACAAATATTTGTTTGTGCACGTTGTTCTTGTCTCTTTCGTTTCAGGAATTTTCCGTGTTCACAAATTGGCACGCCCGGTGGGATATCTCTACCTCTCATCTCTTCCTCCGTTCAAGGAATATAAGCACACTTCCAAAATCAATGACGTCAAGGAAGGCTCAAGCTGTTCCCATAACCGGCGCAAAGAACAAAGGCGCCCTCGTCGCAAGTGGTGTCACGTTGGGTGTCACGACTCGAAGCAAAGCAAAAGCTAATTCTGCCACCTCTTTCACCTCTGCATCAACTCTGCCAGGGGAACGAGAGTACCCGAGGCATGAGCCTGTGATCACTTTAGCCTCACTAAGGGCACCAAGGGAGGAAAGACCAAGGGAATACTCCGAATCCATGCTCTCCGATGACGATTCAAGCGGCAGTTCAGCCATGCAAGTCATGACCGCTGGAGCAACTTCAGTCGAGGAACAGCTTGCTCAAATGAATGAAGCAATCGCAAGACTAACTCGAACTGTGGAAGAAAAAGACTTGCAAATCGCGGCATTAGTCAACCGACTGGAGGCGCAGGACAGTGAGAAACCCGACCCAGAGGATGATCCGCTAAAGGGAGGAGCTGGCGGAGACGAAGAACCCCCGGTGAAGAAAATCGATTGGAAGCCGAAACCAGACCAAGCAGCGGCACTCATGGGATCCCTTTCTATCCAGCAACTGCAAAAGATGATCACCAACACCATCAAGGCACAGTACGAAGGGAGCTCATATA